TCTCAAAATAGTGTTACCTAAATACTCTATGATTACGCAAACACCCACATCTTCCTTACAAAGCGAGAAAGTGTCGCAACCGTAAAATATTATACTGTGGCATCCACAGCTGGTATGAATATAATTCCCTTTTGCATCCTAGCTGTTTTTGTATGTTTTACAGCTTTGGATTTTACATCCTGTCCAGGTGAAACTGCACTCTATTATTTATGGCTCGTATAAAAATGTGCCTGTTCCCACGTGCTGTTGAAAGTTTTATTGTGTTAATTATATATTGGCCCAGAGTCTGGAGGCCTGCTTAGAAAGTGGAGGTAATTGTGTCAAAAGGGAGGTTCAACACGTGTGCGAAGGCTTTAGCTCACGCCCAGAGCATTTGCATCTTTTTTCCCGCTGTCTTACAGTTACTTGCATGGATTTTGCATGACGGGACATGTCCTGAGTGACAAACAGCTCTCACTGGTGGTAATGATGGCTGGTTAATGGGTACACAATGTCTCTATGTGATCTATTGAATCTGTACTTTCAATAGTAGAAATCAATGGCCATAAACAAACAAAACTCCAATGTGATCCATATGAAAACACAGCTAAGTCAAAAGTCACTATTCTTTTACGTACAGTATGTATACATATATTGTAGGCTATATGTATTATTTTTATGTATCAAATATACACTAAATATGCACAAAAAATAATAATGTAAACTATTCTGTTTTATTAAACTTTAAAATACCAAAATAAATTAGAAAATTGACTTTGATGGGCAAGAAAATACATTTTTAATCTTAAAGTAGTAAAATTTGGAGTAAATGCAAAATGTAGTTTTCAAAATATGTAAATATATTTTTAAATCTTTTCAAATCTATAATAGAATTGTATTTTATACATTAAATAAAAATGTATTTTAAAAATAAATATTTGGAGCAAGAAAATACATTTTAAATCTTAAAATAAATTGAGTAAATGCAAAATGTAGTTTTAAAAATATGTTTTGGACATATAAATATATAACATTATATCAGTTAATGAAATTACGGTATTTAACTGTAAATTTAAGTTAAAACCGTAAAACCTAAAACGTTGCTACCATATTTTTTACGGTAAAATTCCGGCAACCACAGCTGCCGTTTTTTTACCGTAAATTTTACGGATTTTTTTTTACAGTGTAGGGTTAGAGGTTTGTTCAAATCACTAACCCTTAGTATGAGCAAAATAATAGTTACGCTGCTCTTACCAAAGACCACTAATAATGATAAAACTGTACATCATGTGACAGTTCAGATGAAACTGCAAACATTGATTATGAATTGTCTTTCTCAGGACGGGTCACAGAAGATGAAAGCAGAAGAAGCCAGCGGTGAACCCAGGATTGACCTCTCACATGTGCAGAATGAGGGGAAAGCTTTGTTTCAGATTGTCTTAAAATAGGAACTAGTTCCTCATTTTTCTCTTGGATTATTCAGAATATAACAGTCAACAGTTTCTGGTGGGAAAGGAATTTTGCCGGCCCCTACGAAACCGAGAATCGTCTCACGTCTTCGGTTGATTTAATACAGCGTTGATTCGGCTCATCACTTCTCATTTTGCTTTGATTACACAACAAAAGGACAGAAATAAGGTGTTAAAACATGAAAGCAGCCGTACACAAAAATGGCACAAAAAAGTAGGGTAGGATGAGAGAGAGAAGAAATGGCAGGTAATGCAATATTCATGCGCACGAGGCAGATTTCCCTTTAGTTCTCATGATTAGAGGAGGGAAATCTTCGCCATGGGACGGATGCATTAATGGCAAGTTGTTATTTTTTGGTACTTTCAGAGAAGAGAGAAGATGTGGCTTCATCAAGGAGATGCACTTCTCCTTCCCCTGCTCTTTGATGTAGTGAAAAGACGTCCACGGTTAACCCAGAGTGTGCAGCGGCTGAGTATTTCTCTTTCAAGCCTGAGATGATGAAAGTGATGATGCCGTGGTGGTGGCGCTGTATCGGGGGGAGTCCAGCTTCTCTCGAAAAAGAGATGTGACCCTGACTGAAATCAGGAACATATTTGATCTTGAAAATGAAGTGCTTCCTTGCTTTGCACTAATGCACTCATCTTTGATCATCAAACGTAACTGATATTACCACATTGCCTTTAAAGCTTACTGAACGACACGCCAGCATATTGTCTGGAGAATATTGGAGTCATTACTGGAAGGATGTTCATTGTGTAGGATATTTCCAGATGAGATCAGCACCAGTGTAATTGAAGTAGAGCAAACTGAGATGGCAAATGCATGCAAATGCACTGTAAAAAAAACTAAAAATGTTTTTTTTTTTTTAAGTTGTAAATAAAGATTAATGGAGTATGCTTTACAAAAAGACGTTTAATGTATTGTGTGCTAGTGAAATTTACTAGCAATTTCAGTCTTAAGACAATCAAAATATATTAGGAAATATAAGTATGTGTGTGTGTGTGTGTGTGTGTGTGTGTGTGTGTGTGTGCGTCTATTTATTTATATACAGTATATGCATTTGAACTTTTGAAAATATATCCATCAGTTGGTGAATAATACATTTCTTTTTTCTTTTTGTCTTTTGTTTATTTTCAAATCTACTTCAAATATATAGATATACAGAAATATAGCAATATATCTAAACCAAATATATTTAAAAAGAAAATTATATAGAAAACAATGGAGCATAAATGGGTATATATTTAGATATATATATAAATAAGGAAATATAAGTAAAGATTTGAAGCTAAAATGTAGTGAAAACTTATTTTGGGTCATCTTTTGTTTATAAATTTATATCAATGTTTTCTTTTTCTTTATTACTGTTATTGTTGTTGTTTCATTTTTATATATATATATATATATATATATCTGGGGAAGATACATTTCACATCTTAAAATATGTTTTGAGTAAATGTAAAATGTAGTTTAAAATAAGTTTTGGACACTATAAATATATTTAGATTGAGAAAAAAAAATTATATATATATATATATATAACAATGAGGAAATATAAATAACTAAAACTTATTGAAAATATGTTTATGTAAATATATTTTAAAATCTCTGTTAGCAGTGTATTTTGGGGTAACTTTCATGTATGTTTTAAAATATATTGGGGCAAGACTTTCATATTAAATCTTAAATGACATTTTAAGTAAATGTATTTATCATATGGGGATTAATACTTTTCTTAACAGCATTTTACTACTATATATTACCAGCATGTAAATCCTTCACCACATTTTTTTTTCCCAGTGTGCATATTTGGGAGCCGGTATATGATATTCTGGAGTTGTGCCAGTCATTCAAGAATCACAAAACTGTTTAACACGCACCCGTTCCACACGATTTGATTAACCCCTCTCGTTTTATTTATTTGGTTTCAAATCTATTCACATTTTTTGGTTGGATGCAGAGATAGTGCTGAAGATGTGTTATTTATCCTTGGCCAATGGAGAGGAAATCGGAGAGTGAAATTCCCATGTCGCTGATAACCACAAAGTCAACATGTCAATAATTCATTGCTCATATGATTTAATATATCAGCGTTTGAATTATTCATTCTCTTGGTTTCTCTCTCTCTCCACCTGACTATCTGAATCTGACTCTCCCAGTACTTTCATATTCATTTCAATCGGACTGCCGCTGAATGATTTATGGACGGCTGACTTGACCATGCACTACATGTAAAAGGCCATCCGTGCTGATGGAAAAAACAAACATGGACACAGTCCGGAGTATTTGAGCTGCTCTCACCGGCGGCCCCTGGAGAGGAGCGCTGGAGCCAGTGAATGCAGGAGGATACAGAAAACCACACAAGAGTGAAAACTAGAGGCTTAATAGAGTTCAATAGGAGACAAACCTGCAAAGATTGTAGATTGCACGTTCAGATAAAGAGCAGTTTGGCTCACAATATAGTCTTAAGCCACCTGTGGAAGACAGAATCCACAGGTGGACCTGGACTGAGAGACCACCTTGGTTTAAAGTAAAGGTTTAAAAGCCACTGAAGTATATGCAGGTGTATCTCAACCAACAAGTAGTTCAGCCAGTTGTAAATCAGATCAAGCACTGTAAAACTGTATGTTTCTATAAGAAGCTTTGTTGTGTATTTCCAACAACCACCTCCTCCCTATTTATCCTCCAACATGGAAAATGTCCCGTATTGTAGTCTACCCGCACAAAACAAGACGTGGGCTGAGGTGGCCTTTGAGTTCCTGCAACATCTGAACAGTTATTTTTATAATCAGACTACATCTGAGATCATCTGCTGATTACAAATATTATAAAATAATGTCAATTTAAACAATTGATTTTGATAATTATTAATGAGGCTTGATACTCGACAGACGGACGGACGGACGGACGGACGGATAGATAGATAGATAGATAGATAGATAGAATATATGCATACATTAGATATTCTGTCATAGATACTATTAGATACTATTACCTGTGTGTGTGTGTGTGTGTGTGTGTGTGTGTGTGTGTGTGTGTTAATAGTATGCTGTTGTTGTTGTAATGAAGCTGATTTGTAACCCAGGACCACAAAGCCAGTCATAAGTAGCACGGGTCATCATGTTCCATGAAGATGTAAATTTCCTACAGTAAATATATCAAAACTTATTTTTTTATTATTAATATGCATTGCTAAGAACTTCATATGGACAACTTTAAAGGCAATTTTCTCAAAAAAATCTTTTTTTTTTTTGGCACCCTCAGATTCCAGATTTTCAAATAGTTGTATCTCGGCCAAATATTGTCCTATCCTAACAAACCATAAATCAATGGAAAGCGTATTTATTCAGCTTTCAGATTATATATACATATCAATTTCACAAAATTGACCCTTATGACTGGTTTTGTGGTCCAGGGTCACATTTGTTTGAATCCAGGAGGTCTCTGCTAGAGAAGTGCCTACTGTCTCTTTAAGGGGGCTTGTCTTGTGAATAGAGTGTCGGTTTACATCTCAGACTCCTCCTCCTTCATTCTGATGAGGGTGTTCCTTCCTTCTGCCCCAGACAGCATCCATCATCCAGGGATACAAATGTTTCTTTATCCACATTCGAGTCTGTCACCGGAGCCGAATTATAAATATTAAACATACAGTCTGGACGTTCGTGCGCCTTCAATCAAACCATGTGATTGACACGCTGACACGGAGAGGTTCGAGCGTTTGGAAGAGAAACTCTGAAGGAACTGCACTGACTGGAACTTTGTATCCTCACCTTTGTTTCGCGAAACTTTTTTCGTGCATGACTTTCCGTTCTCTGCAGGACTATCGGAAGATTCCAGGCTCGCGAATGGATATCAAATGATGCCCGTGGACTGTTTGGGGGTGTTATTTCAGTGTGGTTTTGTAGGAAGAAAACCCCAATCCACAACCCACAGGCTTCTGATCTGATCATGGGAAAACTGGGAACGTCTTGTTTTTTTTAGCCTCGGCACAGTCGCGCTTGTAAGATTTGGGGTTAATTCGGATTACAGCTCTCGCTGAGAGAAGAAAGTTTCGTTTTAATCAGACTTTTGGGGTTTTAAAGTGCCAACATGCCTCAGTTAAACGGAGGAGGAGGCGATGACCTGGGAGCAAATGATGAACTTATTTCCTTCAAAGATGAGGGTGAGCAAGAGGAGAAAATATCAGAGAATGTGTCGTCGGAGAGAGATCTGGACGAGGTGAAATCTTCTCTAGTGAACGAGTCCGAGAACAACAGCAGCTCATCAGACTCCGAAGTAAGCAAAACCGTTTTGGACTATCATTTTAGTGCACTAATGCATGCATAAGTGTAATTAGTAGCGCTAAAACTAAACCGATGCTTTATTTCCCAAATGCAAGCAAACAGACAGGCGTCCCCGACCCAGACCAGAACTAGAAAGTTACGAGAAACAGAGAGAATACTTTGCGGAAGGTAAAAAAAAAAAATCTTCGACATGTATTCCTTGTGTTTTGTGTGAGTGATTTATGCATAGTAATGAACTTTATTGGTTTGCTGTCGCCCCTAAAGCTTTGAGACGACAAGATGGAGGATTTTTCAAGGGACCCCCTTATGCTGGTTATCCGTTTCTTATGATCCCAGATATTACGAATCCATACCTCTCCAACGGATCGCTATCTCCCAGCACAAGAACGGTACGTGCCACTTCACTTTAAACGCAACTATCACCTTCATGACGTCACGCCGCACTCCGTAAATTTTTCTGTTGCAATACGCGCCTTAAAAAGTCGCCTTTCAATGCGCCATATTCTCTTCTTTGTTTGACTTTTTCCTGTCTAGAATCTCTTTTAAGCCTCAAAAACCAGTTAATACCCAAGCAAGCTTTTTGTTCCAGAAGTTTACCGTTGTTTGTTACCACTTGTTGAGTCTTGAACATGCATGCAATAGGAGGCCATTCTTATGCATTGCACAATAAGTCATTTACTTGGGCTCACCCGAGCACAAAAGAAGCCTTTATTCGCGGCCTGCAATGGCACGAAAATTGACTTTTCGCAGTGCGATGTCTGCACAATTAATTTTGTATTATCATAACAGGCGACAAACTGGAGGCAAGCCCAGGCAGATAGGATCCATCCAGCTTTTGGTGTCAGGAATGTGTTTTTACTCCTTTTGTTGTGTGATAGGATGTTGCCCGGTTAGAGAGTCGAATTTACGACTGGGCGCATAGATATCGAAAGCAGGAATGTTGGTTCTGATTGTGTGTTTTTATGGCTTATGTTATGAAGACCTTTGAGTTCATTTGAGCCACATAGAGATTTTCTAGATAAGTTCTTCCCCATCAGTGAAAATTAGAGGGCTGTTAGGCGACTATTGTTATAATTAGTTACCGCTTGACGGCCCTATCGGAGGTCTCTACTGGATGCCCATTATCTTAATGACATCTTCACGGGGGGGGGG